TTGAATTGAAAAGTTCAGGAAAGTTAAGGCCAGGGTAGTAATTAGATGATTAATGTGGATGGTTAAAAGGAGGTGCAAAGTGACATAGTTTCAAATATACTGATTCTTAGTAAAATAGAGATTAATATTTTCAACTGTATAGTAGATGTTTTACCTGTACCATGGAAGATGATTATGTTTTGCAATCTTGGTTCTTCAGTAAGATATTGACATCAGAATCAATGATCTTCAGATTATTTCTTCTTAATAAGGAAGTACAAAATATGTTGTAGTATGATCCAGAATTCCCAGAGGTTCATTTTAATTTTGTCTGTTATTGCAGTGTAACATATAACAGTGTAGATATTGGAAAAACAGTGGAAAGAGTCCCTGAATGTAAGTTGAGATTAGATTTATTTAATTCTTTGCAATTAATGTGAAGAATTAAGGTTTCAACCTCTATTAGTTTATTATTTCTTGGTTTTGCACAAGTCGTTTGGGCATGTTTACTTTCTATTCCTTAATTTTAAAGTGTGGCAATAAAAACACATGATTAAACTCCTAATAAAGTTTAAGAACTTTTGGGAAATTTAGTGAGTCAGACTGATTATGAAAATCCATGACACTAAGAATATAAGGAACTTGAATAAAGGAATTAAGTGGCTGTCCACAATGCAAAGTGGACTTATACCTATTTAATTATGTGTGTGTGTATGTATGTTTGTGTGCATATACACATTCACATTAGATTTAATCTCATTATTTTATAACAATGGATATAAAATTCACAATTATCAGTCTTTTTCTCCAGCTTTTGGGTCATTATGACTGATTGAGTTTATATCTGTATGGCTCTTCCATCTGGAGAAAAAGCAGCAATCATAATGTAACTTAAAAAGGGAATGTGAATTTATAAATAATTTCTGTGTATCATTTCTCTGTCATACATATGTGCACATGTATGTATCTGTGTGTGTGAATGTATCACCACAACAATAGAGTGGTATATTGTCCATTAGCAGACAAGTATTTTGAATAAATGATTGGAAGGTTAATAGAATGTTGATAGATGAAGTTGGGCAGAAAATTGGAGAAAAGAGAACCAGGTTGTAGCTCAATAGATAACTTGTCTTTTCACCACATCCTGAAATGTGTCATGATTTGGGCATATTAAATATGGCAGAAAACTGAAATGAAAACTGGAGGTTAAAATAGAATAAAATGAAAGTCTAAAGTTCCCTTTCCATATGCTATGTTTGAAGGACTTAATACAATAGGATTACAAAAATCAAAAATAAAAACACAGAAACCCAGCTATATTTAACATTATCAGAGAGAGTCAAGAATAGATTCATCTAAAAATAAGCAAAGAATAACAGGAAAAAGAACAGAAGAAGAAAATACTGTTGAATTTTTTTAAAAATATCACTACAAATAAAATCAATAGAGATAGAAGACAAAAATTTTAAAAAATCTAAAAAACATCATGAAAATAAGGTAAAATATAAGATAGGAAGTGATAGTTAAGAGATAACACAATTAGCTCTTAAATCCAGAACATCCAAAAACCAAATATTAAATATCTCACAAAGACAGAATAGAAAAATACAGCTTAGGAAACCATCAAAGAATGAATACAAAGAAGTATTGCCTAGAACTGAAGGTTCTGACATATTGAATGGGGCTCCCTAATGTGTAGTCCTGAGAATGACAGAAGACTCATTAGTGTGAAATTTTATAACACTGAGAATAAAGAAAAAATCTGAATATTGTCATGCAAAAAAAAACCCATATCACATACACAAGAAGGAGTGGCACAGTCATTCTTTTGTCTCTCCAGCTGAGTTAAATGCCAGAAGAAGGGAAAAAAAAAAAAAAAAAAACCCTTCAAAATATTGAGTTAAAAATAATTTCAAATGAGAATTGTGTACATAACCAAAGCATACACGAGGTAAGGAGACAAAAAAATTTTCAAGCAAGGAGTGATTTATAAAATTAATCCCCGCCCCCCCTCCCCACACATATACACATTTTTTTTTTAGGAAGCAAACATGCTGTTGACTTACTTCCTATCAACTCTTTCTTCAGTTTTAGTTTTAGTTTAGAGACCACCGCAAATATATTTACATCTTTTAGGAATTCCCATTTTTGCTACAATAGCTATTCAATCATTTTCCTAAGGATGTCTTTAGGGACTAGCACATTCCTTCTAATCTTTTCTTCCTGTCACTTGTTTTTCCTCTTTGGCTCAAGATCTGCACTCTAGTTATTTTAACGCTTTTTTCTCTCTCTTTTTATGTGCACTCTTTCCATTCTATATTGCTGAAGAATTTTGACATTTGTACTTAATAGTTGCCTGGCTCTCCTGAATGTGGTAGAAATGGTGAGTTTTAATGTATGAACGTTCCAATCCATACTTCAAAGATCTCTGGTAGTTTTCTTATGTTTTAAAGTTCTCTATAATTTTCATAATTTTACGTAATCACTATGTAAATAAATTAAGGGATTTCATGTGATTATAATCAGATTTTGAGTCGAGAAATTTTAGGGGAAACTTACACAAAATTAAGTAAAACAGATTAATTTCATCAACAACAACAAAACACTGGGAGTCTAAGAAACTTGCCCTATATGACACGTTTAGTCAGAGAATTTTGTACAAAAACAATTTTAGATTATTTCTAGTAAATTACACTGTTTCACTCTTATGTGATGATCTAATACTCCTTTGAATACAATTAAAGGTAACACTTTAAAAAATATAACAAAATATATGACAAATATATATAACAAGTGCATGTTACATATAATACGTACATGTATACTTCTGTAAAGGTAAACATGCAAGGCAATAACAAAATTATGGTTTAATTATTCATAGTGAAAATTCCCCACGTGAATTTTGAACATGTGTTATATTGCTTAGTGCTTGAAGGAAGTCCACTGACTGTTTTATTATAAAGAACAACAATCCCAAGATATTAAGAGTATTGAAATATTAGGCCTAGTGCTTGCTGTAGCATAAAAGATATACCATAATACTTACAACTTATGAGCACCAAAGACCACTTTTCATTGTATCTCTCCTCTTTTTTCCCATTGTACTCGAAATTATTTTCATTTAAATTTTTATCCTCCCTGTATATTTGTTTGTTTGCTTATTTGTTGTAAATCAAATGTTTTTTGGGGAAAAAAAATTCATTTTTGCTTTTGACATCTGTGTGGTTGTTATGGTCTGCATTGTGCCTCCTTGAGTTTCACATGTTGAAATCCTAACCACCAGTACCTCAGAATGTGACTGTGTTTGGAGATAGGGCCTTTAAAGAGGTAATTAAGTTAAAAAGCGGTCATTTGTGTAGGCCCTAATCCAGTATAACTCGCATCCTTATAAGATGAAAAAGTAGGACACAAACAAGCACAGAGAGAAGACCCTGTGAAGACAGAGTAGAAATAGCCCACTACAAGCCAAGGAGAAAGGCCCTCAGGAGGAACCAACCCTGAAGACACCTTGATATTGTACTTTTTGTTTTCAGAACAGTGAGGAAATAAATTTCCGTCATTTAAACCACTCAGTCTGTGGTGTTATATTATGGCAGCCCAATTAACTACTGCAGTGGAGTTGAAAGACAGAGTATTGAAAAAGGCTTATGCGTTTGATGAAAATAAGACCTACCAATTTCATATTTTTACTTAGCTTCTCAGTCAGTGGTTTGAAATGACCAGTCCCTCCCAAATTTCCTTTATGCTGCCATTGCTTTTGATATCTGATTACATGCAGAGGCAGTTAGATTCCCTAGCAAAATGCGAAATGCAGTAGTTCCTGACAAGAATCATTTTGTCAACCAGAAGTGATCTTGCATATATACCTTCTTTAGGGGACTGTGCATCATTCCATAGCAAATCATGCAACTAGTGCAAACCCAGAATTTGCTTTATTTTTTCTCTGCAGTGTGATTATGACATCATCAGCTTTCTGAAATAATCACATAAATATTTCCTAAAATATATTGTACTGCAAATTATTATACTACATGAATATTGTAATGCAGTTCTCAGGGATGAGACAAAGGTGAAATTGGGGTGTGAACAGAGGAAAATGTATTCAACAGCTATTTCTGACAGAGAAGGAGAGTAGGCAATGGGAGACACCAAAAAAGCAATAGGAAATGCAGATTCGAATGGCCCCATTGCCACAGCATAATTCATACTGAGATAATTTTAAAGTAAGCATTCATGAATAAATAGAGCTGAATATAATTTGCCTATGTTATGTAATCCATATTTCTACCTGTTTTTCTCACATGTGAATTTTTACTTTCACAACCTTGGAGATATTAAATATAATTCATAAATGTTTCCTAAACACATCTAGACAGTGACCACATCTTCAGGATGGACCCACAAGAAACTTATTTTTTTTTTTCCTATCTACAGTGTAACTATTTCAGTCGTCTCTTGCTTAGTAAATATATTGAGAAAATATATTACTTTATAATTTGCATCTGTTTTGTTATGAGCATTTCTGGATAGGGTACAACCATTTGAACATAATGTATATGAGTGTACTTCACTAATATGCTGATAAAATCTAGTCCTTAGAAATTTGCACCAAATTAAAAATTTCTTTACAGGGAAGTTATAAGGGGTTGTGTATATTAGAATTATTGTAGATGAGGGAGCAAAGAGGTAACTCTGCTCCAATATAATAAGGCTGTTCACAAAGATAAATCCATGTTAGTAAAGTAAGTGAATCAACTGTCTGATTTTGTATGTGTTTATTTTATCATTTAGTCATTGGTTGGAACTTTCTGAAGTCCCTGATTTTTCATCTGTTCAGTAATGTATATTGTTAGTCATATTATAAATCCATGCTATATTATTTGATATGTATTTTACTTTCATTGCTTATTAAATAATTGTTAAATTGTAAGAAACTGAAAAACTGTATAATGAATTTTTCTTCCCATGTTTAAATTAATGGCAGTTTTTTTCCCCTCAGAAATTTTCACAGAAACACAGCCTGAAGTTTTACCAATGACTGAAAGTTTTAATAATATGGTGACTTTTCAAAACCAATTTTTCACACACCAGTACAGCATTAACCAAAACCAATATTTATTTTAAGGTGGAATTTGAGCCCTGAGGCCTCACTTTATAAAGAGGATTTTTTTTTATTCCCTTTTTTAAAATTTTATTATTTGGAAAAAAGTAACATTTGAATGAACACCTTTAATATGAACTATTAAGATCAAACATTGCTTTTAGAATTCAGGACTTATACATACTGTTTTGATATTATCATATTTAGTCCAATTTTCTGAAAGGGGAGGAGAAGCAGATATGTTTTGGCATACAGTTTTAAAAAGAAAAAAAACAACTTTGAATTATAAGAAGATGGAGTTCAGAAAGTATTCTTCCTGTTTGTCTCAACAGGGAAGAAGAGTCAGCATATTGCTATTGCTCCTTGACATAAAGACGCTGTCTTTGTTTTACATCCTCTTTATCTCTGAATCCTGCAATGCCATCACAGCAGAGTGTACTGTACACCACTTGAAATGAGAAGAGTTTCAATAGGCACTTTAGTGGAATTAAGAAAAATCTAACACTCTTCCACCGTGATGCCACATAGCTATCTTCATTCTAGGTTGTCATGTCTGTAAATTGTATTTAATAGGCCTGAGCTTGTCTCAGTGTGTTTCTGAAGTAACAAAACAAAACAAAGCAAGTACATATAATAAGATTTATCTTGTGTTGGAAGAATAAACCAAAACTGACAAGAGGATAAATAGAGTAACTTGCTAGAAACCAGATAATCAAAGGAATCTTGTCCTGTAAAGCCTGTGTGTGTGTCTGTGTGGATATGATTTTTATTTGTTTCTTTTTCTTTTTAAAAAAATTTCTCCTCTCAGTTGTGTTCCTTTTAGTCTTCATGTCACCACTAAGTGACTTTATCTGGATTATAACTCTCTTCTTCACCAAACATGTCTGCCAAGACCTTAAAGCGGGGTCCCCAGTCTGTCAGATAGTCGAAGTCCTGGTCGGCTTCGGTGGTGAGGGAGTCTATCGAGCTGAGGGACTCTGCCACAGACCCATCTCCTTCGTAGGCATAGGTGGCCAATGAGTCATATGGTGGCGCGGTTGGGTCCACATCATTTTCTTGTAGCCTTTGATGAATGAAGTCCCTTATGTCTGTGTTATCTTCCACTGGTGCTCTCTGACGAGGTAAACAGAGGGAGTCTGGTTTTATATCCCTGCGAATTTTGTTCTCTTCAATCACTTTAGGATTTCTCAGAGCCCCAATGTCAAAAGCCTGGGTGTCCTCCTCCCCGCCTCCCTCATCATCATAATGGATGACATTGTCTCTGATGTCTTCTTTTGAGGTCATCAGGGTGTCCTTTTTCTTCTGCCTTCGCAGCGCTACATACAGCACGACTATGACTACAAGAAGACAAAAATTGCAATTTGAGAATAGAAAGCAGGTACATCATTTCACTCCTCTAGCAAAATTAACATTGATCAAGGCTGGCTGAGTTTCTTTAATGACTTCCTATTATTTTCAAAGTCAACACACTATAATCAATAAGATCATCTATATATGTTTCTATTTTTTCACTGTCCATAGTCAACTTCATTTTGAAACTGTAACAATCTATAGCCAAGTTACTCATAAAATTGGGTATCTTTATATTTAAATATTTTGGGGTCAGGTAAAAAATATGTGTGACAAAATGAAAAAAGAAAATAATGCTTGTTCTAATCCTACAGAGAGTTGAAAGGGTTGATATAACGAAATGTGAGTATTACAGCCTATAAGTAACACACATATTATTTATAGCAAATCTCATGATTGTCATATTCTCAATTGGTAATTAGAAATTTGTATTTCTATTGAAATAAACCCAAATCTTTACTGTGGCAAACACTTTTAAAATCAATGAATATGAAAGAGAGAACAAGAGGAAGGAAGGAAAGGATGAAGGAAGGAAGGAAAATACAGAATATAAGGGCCTTAGTTTTATAAATCACATCAACTAACACCTCTAATTATTTCTATTCTGTCTTGCCATATTGAGACATTTTTCAAACCAAATGCCTAGCATTCAGGTTACCTTCAAGAAGCAAGAGAATATTTTGAAGTAGTTAATTTATATGATTCATTATTGACATTTCTTTGTTTCTAGTCAACTCTAAGCTCTCCATGAAATCTATGGTGTTTACTTTTAGAGGTGCATGTGCACAGATCTACATGAACTTAGTGCTCTGCTTTGCTTGTATAGAACCTCTTCTCTTCCACAGTGCTGGCAACAGGATGAAAGCCAAGGTGTTTTTGATTTACCACAGCAGAATCTGGAAGATTCTCATCATAGAATTGAAAAGTAGAGAAGAACTCATTTGACAAAAGTCTATGTATTTGTTCTCTCCTCCACATTAGAAATGGTTGGAAGAAGGGAGGAGACATTGTCCTATACAGTGGCTTGGAGAGATGTTTGGCACCCTGCACTTCTCCCCGGGTTTAGAAAATCCCAGAATTTAGGAGACAGCTGTTTGTTTTCCCAGGGAATGTGTGAGAGACTGCAGCCTCAGGGAGAAGCCCTGGATGTAAAATGGCTTTTGAGTTGTCATGGCTGAGAAAGGGAATAGTGAGATGTGCCACCTAAAAGTGACCTGAGCACCACACACTTTTCATGTTTCCACCCACAATAGGAAGCATGTGAAAATGGCTGAGAATAAGCTGAAATACCTAAATGGGTATGAGATTGGTCAAGGAGGTAAAAGAATAGATGGATTTTTTAGCAGACCCCATGGCAAGACAAAGAGTGTCAATATTCACTGCTGTATACCAGCAAATTCACAATGCCTAGAATAGCACAGGTGCACTGTAGACTTTCAGGAGGTATTTACAAATGAGCTGCCAATGGTAGTGGATGACCATGATGACCTGAGCAGATTATGTGCTACACTCTACGAGGACCAAAGAGGCCAAAGGAGAACACCCAGAACATTCCAAGTCATGCAAGATGGGAAGAGGATTCCTTGATTTGAAGGTAAACACTTAACTGATCATGTTCAATTTCAGATGTGAAAATGTTATTTTAAATGTTCCCTTTTAAGATTTATATCATCAGCACAAACAGATGCCAGGAATAATTTATTATAAATTATATGGACATTAAAAAATACTTTGTTACAGACACCAAAGTTATCATGTGAAATTAATATATACACCATGCAAATTGAACTAGAACTTCACCTTCCAAGCAAGTGTGATCTTCTGACTCAGAGAATGTTCTCCACAAACTATGATTTAATGTCCTACTCCATGTTTTACACCCTAGTGATTTTTAAAAATTTTATTTTCTATCCTAGAAATAAAGGCAGGTGTACATATTTGTCAGAATATTTTTTGTTTAAATAGTGAATATGCATACATAAACTGATTTCACAGTGTCTAATTGTACATCTGCTATAATCTGATTTTAAAGGAGTAACTGGCAAAGTAGAAAATCTCTCTCTACTTTTGTGAATCTGGCACTGAATTAATAAGTGAAATGGATAAGCTGAACAAAGTTGATGGAAGAGGGAAACCCCTAAGATAGGTTTCTATTCACACTCACAGAGATGTTACAAAATACATTTTCTTCAATCCTTTTTTTGTATTGTTTTGTTTTTTTGTTTGTTTTTATATATATATATATATATATATTTTTTTTTTTTTGCAGTGCTTCTAGATATTTCAATCTGTTCTGTTCTGTTCTAGTGAAAATGGTTCAAATTTTGAGGTGAGAAGATGTGAAAAAATTAAAAGAAGAATTGCTTCTGGCTGGCAGTTTAAACAGAAAAAAAGAGAAATTGGGGGATCTCTGTTCTTTTAACTTTCTGTTCGTTCTCTTTTCTTCCTTTTCTTTACTGAACGGGAATTTGAGAACAATTTTCATTTAGCAGATTTTTTTTGAAATGATTTGAAAATAGTTAATTTATATAATTTGTTATTTATATAATCTCTAATAGACAGCAATAATTACTAAGATATAAATTACTAGTAATTATTAGGATGTAAAATAAATTGAGAAACTGTTGTAAATGGATGATTATTATGGAGAATATTATTGTGGAAAGGGCCACAAACTATTATTACTTGAAAATCGCCTAGGGCTTGAATGTATTTATTAACAATAACATATATCCATAAGGTATGAATTAGAAAAATAATTTCAATAAAGACAAAAATTTAATTTAATGCAGATAACCATCTATCCTGATGACATCTCAATGAAGAAAAACTGATTTACATGGTAAACTAAGGAAAGAGAGAGAGAGACAAAAGAAAGAGAGACTGGGGAGTGGAGGAGATATAGAGAGAGCACGATAGAGAGAATGTGATTAATATTGAAACTAACCTAAGAGTATAATAATGCACAGCAGGATTGCAATCAACGCCCCAGTGCTAAGTCCTACAGGTAGAAAAATTGCTTCCACGTTACAAGACAGGATGGTACCATCAGAGTCACATCTACAAACTCGAATAGTCATTGTGTTTGTGCTGCTCTGGACAGGATAACTGCTGTCTTCTATTACAACAGGGAGAAAATATAACTCTTGCTGCCTGCGGCTGTATCCATTTCTTCTGGTTTCAATTCCAGCTGTGTTGTCTACAAAACATGACATTTATGATAACATGGTTACTATGAGTTTCACTTCAAGTCTTAAAGGTGGTTATCTGCTAAACAGTGGGAAGCTGTTCTTGAATCAGTAAATTCATCCTTAGTTTAATTCTTTCTTTTGTCATTATGAAAGCTGCCAAAATGTAATCAAATGTAACCAAAATAATCCTTACGGAAAGAAGAAACATTAATCTTGTCTGGTGTAAGAATTAAATTTTCTGATCAGAAAGAATAAAGAATAATTTGCCAAACAAGAAATGTGTAGTATTGACCCATTTTTTTCAGATACCAAAATCCCAGTGAGAAAAGTAATACTTCTGTGGATGATCTCCTACATAACAGAAGAACAAAGATTAAAAAGTATGAGTCTGCAAAATATTTTACATAAGAACCTATTTTTTAAGGTATATTAAATATCAATTGACTATTTCAAATTAAAACTTGCTTTTCCCGTGTATATGTTTTATATGCAGAAATATGTTTTATGTGTGTTTATATATGCTTATAAATGTTTATATATGCTATATATATGTTTGTATATATAAACACATTCACTTCTGCACATCAGCTAGAGTAAGAAACATGAAAAGGAAAATAGTGTGTTTAAAAAACATGAAAATCCATTAAAAATTTTAAACACCATGAATTATAACAATCACCATTTTAATATAATTACAAAAGTAATTATTGTAATTCTGATTAAATCAACAATGGTAATAGTTGTTACAATAATCCAAGGCAAGGCAAATTTCTACGTTTATATAAATGCAATTAATATTTATATTGAAACTTATTTTGCATGCATTTGCTCTTTACTTATTTTATTTCTACATGAAAAAGCAGACATTTTGTTTTATTCAAACACTATTTCATTTTTTATGTCAATTACAGCAACTCCTAGAAACGTTTTCCTGTTTTTAGACATATATTGATAGGCAGTCTATTATAGCCATGCATGATACCCACTTGGAAATCAGGGGAAAAAAATTGGAAAAGTGTATTACTCATTACTATGCAAGTCTGTCAGAAATATGTGGCTATTTCACTCTCTGTTCTTCTGCCTGTAGACTCTAAATTCAAAAACTGAAATGTAGACAGCATTTATACATTCACTGCAAAGGAAGCACCAAAATGAGAAAACTACCTGTGAAGATTAGGGTTTGCTATGGAAGGATTAATTTGTTATTATTACAGAGAGGAGGTTTTATAATTGAGAAATGAAACATCAAGATGCCAGATGATTACTACCCCATTCTCAGTCAGAGTTAGTAAGGCCAGGCACTTGTGACAGCAGAGATGGAAAAATGTCGAAGCAGCATTGAAATCTTCAGCAATTGATGGTTGAATACTTGAGGCTGGGGAAAAGGAACAGCCAAGGATTAAAGTTCATAAGCTGGGATGAAATGATTGATAGTAGAAAATCTAGTGTGTCTAAAGTTGGGAGGAGGCAGGGATATGGTATTCTTGAACTCAATTCATTTCAAAAAGCAAACTAGGCTTTTTAAAAGTTTATTTTCAATTTATTATTTATAAGAACTGACCAAATCAATTTTGTTGTATTGTACATAGTGGGAAGAAAAAGACATTTTAAACCTCATTTCCACCCTTAAAATGATTTCTATCCACTAAAAAACAGAACAAAGCATGCAAAAACTTACACTTACAGCTATAACTTAACATAAAATAGGGAGCACAGTAAATGACATGTAGATTTTTGTGTCACATGCATGTTTCATACACGATAAAACTATGTGCTAAGAGGTAAAATGATCTGGTTCACATTATCATGATTCATCTGATATTGAACCTCCAACAAAGATACAATAGTGGAAAATAGTCAATACTTATGTTTAGTGAATGATGTGATCATTTACCTAGTTGCCCAAACCTATGATCTGGAAATCTGATTTGTCTTCTCCATTATACTCACATATCAAATCTAGGGGTTCTATCTTTAAGTCCTACCAATTCTACCTCTGCCCACATGTCTTCATCCTCCCAGCCATTATACTAATCAAAGGCTCTCACCAGTTATGACAATGACATCCGAACTAGTCTTATCTCACTGTAATGTCTTTTCCATACTGCATGCAAACTGATCTTCCTAAAATGCAAATCTGAACATGTTATATTCTTGCTTAGCCCTTTCAAAGACTCCTACAGTCACTGGATTTAAGTTCTCTTTAAATGGCTTGTAAATAGGATGCCCATATGGTACAGTTTGAATTGAACAGCCTTATTTTATGTGTACACTCTAAATTAAAATTATTAGTATTGCCCAATTCCATTCTCAAAAGTGTTCCAGTATTCATGACAAAATATGTGGTCACCCTACTTATAAAGCGCTTCAGGTTTGGGATGTTGTTTCATTTACAGACATTCCTCACATTACCCTACTGTATTCAGCAAATCCTACTTAATCTCCTTCAGTGATAAAATGTGGAATCTCTGATTTTCTTCCCCTAATTATTTTTAGCAAATGAAATTTTCTCAAAACATCCATTGACTTCTACTAAGCATCATAATCATTTTTATCTCATCACAATGTGTTCACTTGTTCTATACACATAGAATTTATTAAAGATTTAGTTTTTTGCTACTCAACATTATAAACTCAATTGTTTTCATCCTTATTTTATAGAGAATGGAAACTTGAAGAGATAAAATACCCGTGATCAAGAACTAATAACGTCAGAGCAACTGACCAGGAGTCAACCTTAATATTTCTAACTTTTCCAGTATTCATGACAAAATATGTGGTCACCCTACTTATAAAGCGCTTCAGGTTTGGGATGCTGTTTCGTTTACAGACATTCCTCACATTACCCTACTGTGTTCAGCAAATCCTACTTAATCTCCTTCAGTGACAAAATGTAGAATCTCTGATTTTCTTCCCCTAATTATTTTTAGCAAATGAAATTTTCTCAAAACATCCATTGACTTCTATTAAGCATCATAATCATTTTTATCTCATCACAATTTGTTCACTTGTTCTATACACATAGAATTTATTAAAGATTTAGTTTTTTGCTGCTCAACATTATAAACACAATTGTTTTCATCCTTATTTTATAGAAAATGGAAAGTTGAAGAGATAAAATACCCGTGATCAAGAACTAATAAAGTCAGAGCAACTGACCAGGAGTCAACCTTAATATTTCTAACTGAGTGTCCTTTATACTTTGGGCATGGTTGTTGTAGAAGCAAATGTATAGCATTAGCAGTAGTGGTAGTAGAAGGGTAGTGTAAACAAGATGGCAAAGGTGGTAAATAAAATTATCTTGATGGGAATATGTGTATTAGTCTCTTTTCTGTCACTTAGAATTCCTGAAACTGAGTAATTTATAATTAAATTGAGTTTATTTCTTACCTTTCGGAGGGTAGGAAATCCACAGTCCAGGGGTTGCATCTGGTGAGGGCTTTTTTCTTGTGGGGAGTTCCCTACAGTGTCCCTTGGCAATGTAGGGTATCATATAGCAAGAATGGCATGAGTCAGAGAGCTAACCTTCTCACTTGTTCTGCTTAAAAAGCTATCAGAGCCACTCCTATGACCACCCCTTAAACTATCAACCCATTTCTCCATGAATGGATCAATCCATTTACAAGGGCACAATCCTCCTGATCCAAATAACCATTGAAGGATGCATCTTCCACCACCATATTGGGAGTTAAGTTCTACCATGAGCTTGAGGGGACATTCAAACCACAGCAACCTGTTTTAGGCATTGTGATAAAGGCTTTGCATATAAGATTTTATTTAATACAAATACTGTGAGGGTAACAGTATAATTTTATACACTAAGAGTCTGCCATTTAGGCAGTATGGAATAGGAATGCAAACCTCTATCATTTAAATTAATTAATTTAATTTAACCTGTGCTATACCATGTGTTATTTAAATAATATAGTTACTAAAGAGTTACCTATTTGTAAATACAAGTAATACATGTAGGACAAATTATATATTCAAAATAGGAAAAGCATTCAATTTCCCAGATAGCTTTTTATTTGCTCAACTCATTAATAGAGATTGCCCACATCTACAATGAAAGTAACCTGCCTTATTAGATACAGTCTATATAGATTACGTATTTAATTTACACTATCTAAAGAATTTTTGCATATCTTATATATTGATTTTGTGTCATATGAAAGTGAGTACTTTTAAGAAAAGCATTGATTCCTTCCTTTTTGCCCTTTTACAAAGATACGTGATAATAAGTAAATCTCAATGTGGTTCCACTTACTTCTGAAGTCACGGACTGTAAAATTTGGTTTGATGGCAGCCTCAGGTGATAATCTAAAGGAGAACTGCTGCCCAGCAGGTGAAAGATCTCGGTCTGCAGCGCTGACTATCTGAATTATCTAAAACAAAGTTGAAATTAAACTTGGAGTTAGTCATCAGTTTCAAAGAGACCTTTACACACCAGGCTAATAAATTTATTTAATGAAGCATGCAAGTAGACAGAAATGACACTTACTGAATCAATATCAGTGAGTCAATTACTTACACATAATTTTCATAAACAAATCTCTAAACATTTACAGGTAATAATGGCAGATACAATTATAGAACATGGACTAATTCCAAATCAATATCTGTGTAACTAAAAAGCTTACCAGCATTGAAAATTCTCACTAATAAGCAACATAAAATTAAAATGTATTTGCTTGCATTTTAAATTAGGTGAAATAAGTGCTTTCTCGCCGACATATGAAAATGCTTACTGGAAACAAAATCTCTGATTATCTAAAAATCCCTGCAATAGCAAAATTTTAAAACTGTTATGTTTGTGAGAATGTTTTATTTTCATAAATAAACAAAATGATGAGAAAGAGAGATACAAAGGATGTATGCCTGCTTTTGTGTTATGTTTGTTTTCCTCTGTTGTGTAGAAACAAAAATTGTGTTTCCATAGAGTTTTTTAAGTATAAGCATTATCAACCCTGTTTTAAAGTTTTTTCTAACTTGCTCTCATAGGTTGTATATTTTGTAGTTAAAATCCTGGTGCTTCAAGAAGATGCCTTATTGAATGTGATTGTACACTGATGCTATTAAACTAGTGATTCAGTAAAAGCCCAATCTTACGACTATAATCTACCTTCACATATAGCTACACACGCACACATGCACACACACATATAGGTATGTAAATGATAGATAGACAGATAGGTATCACTAGGACTTTGATAGTGCTACATTAGTAATTGGTAATTTAATGATTTTATTGGTCCTCTAGTGTGAATTTCAATTCACTATTTTAGTGTGAATTATTTGCACAGGATCTACTTACCCTTTAGAATTGTCATGGATGAGACCTTCATTATTCAACACCAAAAGTCAGATAATTGAATGTGGTAATTTAGTCAAAAATCATTATACATACTTTCTAAAACTTCACATTTCCATCACATAAACCAATGTCCCCAGATTGGTCTATTTTGTCCATAAATATTCTGTGTGTTACAGATTAATACCTGATTATTAAATTTTGTTTTGTTTTGCTTACCATCAACTAGTTTTATTTTTTTCAATTAAAGATATTTAATATCAAAACATATCGACATAACTGGAATAAAAAGAAGTTTTTTAGAACAGCATACAGATACGGAAACTTGGTTATAGAATGGCACTTAATTAGAAGTGTCACTTGGGAGTCACCGTCCTAAGAAAAACAATCCCCATGTAAATCTTTACTGATTTACAAAGTATCAATCTTTTTTTCTATTCTCTTTTATTTCAGATGGATAAATAGATGACAGATAGATAGACACATGGATACATAGACAAATAGACCGATAGATGGATAGATATTCAAGTACAATCCAGAAGAGATCTATGGCTCTTATGCAGAGTCCCTAGGCCAGGGGCAGAAAGGCTGAGATCCAACGCAGAAAATGCTCATATACCACACTCCCTGAAAACTCAAGGGAAATTTCAGGGTTTTGCTTTGTACATAAGTGTGGCCAGGCGGGACACAAAAAGCACAACAGATATTTTTCAGAGCCTCCAAGGACCCCACTGATTCCTAATCACTTTCTCCAGGTATAAGAAAATGGGGTTGATCTCTAGCAATTTTTACTTTTCCTAACCTTTCAAACTCTTTAATTTATTAAACAAACACACAGCATTCAATGGAATTCTGTTCCCAAAGGCTTTCATTTGGAGCATTACAACATTTTGATTGCTCTGAAATCATTAATATCCCTAATTACCTAAAAGTTAAAGAATTGGCCTTTTTTCCAGCTTATTTATTTATTTATTTATTTATTTATTTATTTTGGTGGAGTGTAGCACCTGGAAAATGGAAAATAGCTAAGTTGTGGAATTTAGGTAAATCTCTTCTCACTTTCCAAAAAAAAAAATAAGTCAGGATTTTTATTTGTGCTCATATATTTAGGTACCATCTAATATTTCAAACACTGAAGCAAGCAGTGGGCTCATCCCATGTCAATTGTAGATGCATTTAAGGTGATAAAGCTTAAGTGCATGTCTGTGCCCATTAAAATTAAGAATGTAGATTTTATACTTAAAAAAAATTATTAAATAAGTTGTGATGCAATAAAATTAATGAATTCCCTAAATTATAAAGTTAGAAATTAGAGCAGTACAATCCACTCGAAGTTTTCACGATAATAAAAATTTCCATATCTGCACTCACCTGAATAGTACTCACTCATCACATACAGTTTTTGAGCACTCGAAATGTGGCTAAGTGAATGAGCACGTTGGTTTTTAACTTTATTTAATTTTAATTTAATAGATATATTACTAGTTGATATCACAGGTTCAGAGCTGTGGGACAGCAGTATAAAGCATGCAAATTTTTCTTTTTTTTTCCTTTTTGTCTTTTTTCTTGACCGGTAACGGGATTGCAACCCTCGGTGTCACACCCACACCGCGCTCAATCAGTGAGCAGACCAGCTATATGGGATCCGAACCCTCAGAGGGAGCGCCGCCGCGCTCCCAAGCGCCGCACTCTCCCGAGTGCGTCACCGGGCGGCCATAAAGCATGCAAATTTAAAAAATAATAATAAAGATTAAAGAATGGCTTTTTTTCAACAAAAATATTGTTTCAAATATTAAGATTTATTTCAGGGCTGAGCCCGTGGCGCACTCGGGAGAGTGCGGCGCTGGGAGCGCGGGCAGCGCTGCCGCCACGGGTTTGGATCCTATATAGGGATGACCGGTGCGCTCACAGCACTCCCTGGCTGAGCGCGGTGCGGCCGGTCTCAAAAAGGACAAAAAAAAAAAAAAAAAAGATTTATTTCAAGTAAGAAGTAAAACTCCTCAGATCTACTTTAATGAGTAGTTATACTATTTAAAGGTGATTGAAGTATGCAACAAACCAAAGCATACCAATGCATTTTCCCCTTGGAACTTAGGTGCACAGTATTAATCATATCTTGTTTCAGGACACACTCTTATCATATACACATGGCAAAGTCGTTTTATGTTATTCATTTATTCATTCATAATAGCATGGGGGGGGACTTGCCACCCACCACCACTCCATATAAAACCTAGGACTTTGAAAATGACTTGCATTAACTACATGTTCCTTGCTCATAAAATCTCCCCACTAGAATATCCCCCCAGAATAATACTGACTTGACAAGAAAAATGTAATTCAGATCTTTTGAATAACCCATATATTCTCTTCCAGGTCATTAGAGAAGGAAGCTTTACATTTTCAGTAGGTTTAAGAACTTTGTTGTATCTCTTATGAAAGCATATGAGCAAAACAAGATATACACTGGAAAAATGCACTCTAAAGTGGTTTGCTTACTGGGTTTTTAATCACAAGTCCTTTAGAAATTCCATGATAAGAAAACGGATTAACATAGCAGAATCCATAACCTAGAGCTTTAATTATACAAAGAACTTGCACTAGGCAACCAAAACTTTATCCCCTATGGTATTACCTCCATATCCATGAATCTACCATTAATTCAAGAGCTTAATATCTCCTATGGTTTCTTTCATGAAGACATCTGATCTAGAAAAGTAAATATTTGTGTGCGTATTCATGTCTGAATTAATAACTTAAAACACATGCATATAATAGGCCTTTATACACTCTTAATAAACAATATCGGTAAGATACCTGTCCTGCTTTGGCATTTTCACACACAGCTGTCTCATATGGTGCAGATATTTCTGGAGGAAATTCGTTGACATCTAGAACATTGATCAGTATGTTGACTGTGCTGGTTAATAATGGGTTACCTGTTGAAACCACAAAAAGAGGAAATATAGTACAAAATTTGGTCAGTTATTGATTCTACCATAAACAGTATTCAAATTGTTAAAAAATCAGCCTTCACATAGAATGTAAAGAATCCTTCCTATTATGGGAAATTCTGAGGTTTCCAACTACAAGATGGTAAAAGGATGAATAAGTGAGGTATCAATGTTTAGCTGTCAGAGATCTAGCAGTGAGCTCTGCAGGGTTTATCCCCAAAATTTCTCACCAAAGTGAGGACAACTATTTAGCTGATATTTTACTGTAAGTACAGAGTCTTCCTAGTAAAATGACTTAGCCATCCTAAGTTTAGTTTCCAGAACCAATCTTTACCAATTAGTGATGTTTTTTCACTAGATAAAAATAGTTTTCTATGTTGTGCCCATATAATGAAAACTGTATTGGTTGAAATAATCTACATATGTAAATGACTCTCTCGAAGCGATTCTTTCATAACTTAAAACACATGCATATAATAGGCCTTTATACACTCTTAATAAACAATATCGGTAAGATACCTGTCCTGCTTTGGCATTTTCACACACAGCTGTCTCATATGGTGCAGATATTTCTGGAGGAAATTCGTTGACATCTAGAACATTGATCAGTATGTTGACTGTGCTGGTTAATAATGGGTTACCTGTTGAAACCACAAAAAGAGGAAATATAGTACAAAATTTGGTCAGTTATTGATTCTACCATAAACAGTATTCAAATTGTTAAAAAATCAGCCTTCACATAGAATGTAAAGAATCCTTCCTATTATGGGAAATTCTGAGGTTTCCAACTACAAGATGGTAAAAGGATGAATAAGTGAGGTATCAATGTTTAGCTGTCAGAGATCTAGCAGTGAGCTCTGCAGGGTTTATCCCCAAAATTTCTCACCAAAGTGAGGACAACTATTTAGCTGATATTTTACTGTAAGTACAGAGTCTTCCTAGTAAAATGACTTAGCCATCCTAAGTTTAGTTTCCAGAACCAATCTTTACCAATTAGTGATGTTTTTTCACTAGATAAAAATAGTTTTCTATGTTGTGCCCATATAATGAAAACTGTATTGGTTGAAATAATCTACATATGTAAATGAATCTCTCAAAGCGATTCCTTCTAGAAGCTTCCTCCTAAAAAGAAGGATGACAACAGGGACAATAAAAGAGAAAAAGCTTTTCATGAATTAAAGTAGAAAAATAGATTTATGGATGTAGAAGTAAGAGATGGCTTATGGAAAGCTAGTATACATCCTTTAATTACTTGCAGGTGATGAGAAAGAAAAGAAAAAACAAACTTTTGTTAAAAAAAAACTTCTTCCTACAGATTCAGAAAGAATATTGGTGTGAAAAGATATCTGCCAAAATCTCATTACAAATTTTGCCTCCAGCCAGCTAATTGTTTTTCATATCTCTGTCATTTGTTGCAGAAGACTAGAAATAATCAATTAAACTAATAAAGCATAACTTAATGCACATGTATTAACTTTTTCAATATAAAATTTTACCTTATAAACTTTTACGGATTGATAAACTATCTCAAATTTTTGAAGGACCTTGCCCAGAGTCACACAGCTAGGACAATGGGGAGTTAAGATACAAAGCCAGAATTGTGAACTTTTCGTGACCGGCAACGGATCGCAACCCTCAGTGTCACGCCCGTACCGGACCGGGACCGGCCACGGGATCGCAACCCTCGGTGTTGCTCCCACCCCTCGCTCAGCCAGTGAGCGGCCAGTCCGCATGTGGGATCCGAACCCTCGGTGGGAGCGCCACTGTGCTTCCCAAGCGGTGCACTATAGCAGTGCACCACCGGGCCGGCCCCCTTTTTGCTAGTTTTAAATTATTTTCCTACAATATGGATTTTAACATCTATCCCAATGAATAAATTGTCACAGAAATATTATCATATTGTAATTTGTTATTATTAACAGTGTTTCTCAAAGGGGTGCTTGGCATTTTAGCTAAGACAAATCTTTATCATGTGAGACTGTCTTGTGCACTGTAGGATATCTAGATTGCCCGAAAATTAAATGTCACAAGGCATCATTGTGGCAACTACAAACAAATGTCCAAACAAGGATAGAGAAAAACCAAGAACATGTTCCTATTGTTGAAAATGAGTAATGGGTTAATGGGTTTAATTATATTATTAACTCTTCTATTGTATTTAAAAAAAAAAAACTTTTCGTAATTAAAAGTGAAAATATTCACTTTGTATTCTTAAGTACCAACCAGTTAAGGAAGCAATAACATCTCAGTTTGAGAACTACTGTACTCAAATCAACACTGCACTTTTCATGAGAATATAATTTATAAGAATAATATAACATTATTTCATTTATGTTATAATTTACTAAATTATGTTGAACCAGTAATGACTTATTTTATTTCTGACTCATCTAATCTGTATTTGGGACAGCAGTGATGAAATTCATTTAACCTTTATTCGGTATGAGTATGATTATCCAATTCTTTGACAATAATACCGTGTAGACTTTAGCTATAGCTACTCATAAAAGCAAATTCAATTATTGAGTTAGTAAATATTAAATAATCAAAGTCTTACACAATTAATTTCTAAGTTTCTAATAGTCAATCCATTTAAATTCCAATTTTCATTGTTCTAAATTGCTTATATTAGTAACAAGTTATTTAATAATTTGGGGCTCATATAAGGTAATCAAGAATTATTCTGTATTTCTTAAAAATGCTTTGTTAGATCTTCCTCCCCTCTCCTTGATGATATCTCAGTCAGCTTCCATACCTTTCCGAGTCAATTTGAGTTAGCACTGCCTTATTATTAATATTTTAAAATATAGCTTAAATTAAGGGGGAAAAAAGTGAAAACTATAAATTACCCAAACCAGGAATATGGAGGAGACATTACTACTTATAATAAATGAAGTCAATTATCAGAAAGAAATATTTTAAATTGCTTTATGCCAAAAAAAATGTCAACATAGGTGAAATAGACAAATGTCTTTGAAGATCCCAATTGCCAAAACTGACTCTAGAAAAAATACAAAACCATAATATATATAAATAAAAAGTTCATTCCCAGAGGACTTTATTGGAAATTCTATCAAATGTTTGAAGATCAAATAACATAAATTCTTTACAACCTCTTTCTGAAAACCACTCATTCCTTGTACCTTGATACCAAAGCTGATCAAAAACATCACAGGAACAAAACAGCACAGACTAGTATCTCTATAAACACAGGTACAAAAGTTTAACAAAACATTAGCAAATCAATTCTAACAGCAAATTATAAAAATAATATCCAATGCCCAAATGGTGTTTATCCTAGGGAGGCAAAATCGATTTAACATCTGATAACAATCACCATATTATTAGAAGAAAGAACAAAGCCTCACAAGGCCATCTCAATAGACTCAGAATTAGCACTTTACAAAATCCTATGTCCATTTATGATAAAAACTCTCAACAAACAATAAATAGAAGAAAATTTCCTCAACATGAAAAAGTATATCTACAAGAAACTGACATCTAACATCATGGTGAAAGACTGTTTTCTCTCTAACATTAGGCACGTGGCAAGGATGCCCACTTATATTCAACATTGTACTTGAGGGTTTGGTGCAATCAGATCAAAATAAAAATAAAAGGCATCCAGATTGGAAAGAAGAAAATAAAACTATTTTTGCTTGAAGATAACATGACCCTGTATATAGAAAATCCTAAGACAGAAAATCCTAAAGAATCCACAAAGAAATTAATAGATATAATAAGGAATTCCATCAAAGCCACAGGGTAAGTGATCAATATAAAAGATGGCAATTGCATTCTTAGGATACTAGTAAAGTACAAACTAAAGTGAAATTGAGAAAAACAATTCAATACACAACAGAACTGAAGGTAACATATTTAGGACTAAATTTTTCAAAACAAATGAAGGTCCTGTAAACTGAAATTCATAAGTCATTGCTCAATGAAATGGAAAATACTTCCCATAGAAATATGAAATCGTATAGTCACTTTGGAAAATAGTTTGGCACTTTCCTTAAATGTTAAACATAAGCTTATCTCATGACCCAACAATTCCACCTTCAGGTATCTGCCCAAGAGAAATGAAGTACATCTACCAAAGAGAAATAAAATAAATATAAATAACCTGTATGCATATATACATGAAAGTATTATGCACATGGCCCAGAACTGGAAATGATACGAATGCCTATCTTTCAGTGAATGGATAGACATTATGTAGCACATCCATGCAATAGGATATCACCCAACAATAAAAAGGAACAAAATACTTATACTTGCTGCAACAACATGAAATGAACCTCAAATATATTATGCTACACTGACACCGCTCCTTTAATTGGAGCGTTGTTACCTGCAGAAACCAAAAGGTTTTAGCACCTTAGGGTTTCTGAAGTAAATGAGGCTTCAGATGATTCCAGGTCCCACCTGTGAAGTCTTTCAGACAATCTGACACAGATATTAAGCTCTTCTTTTTAGATGAGCCATTTTGGAATTCCTGACCCAAACAAACTCGGTGATACATTGTTAGGTGGCAAGAGATAACAACTCATAGTGATGAGAAATATTAAAATACATATTAAAAGAAAACAAGACTGCAATGGCTCTCAGATTTGGTGCTTTTTTTTAGCTGTAATTATGCAAAGGTTTATTTATACACATCTGGTGCTTGATGCTGGAGGTTTGCTAGGGGCCAAGCTGGAGATGTAGTCGAGGAAACTCACTGATGGTCTTTTCATATACACTGGACTTCCTCATAACTTGTGGCTGCAATTCAAGGGCAAACATTTCAAGAAATAGGAAAATCCAGACAGAAACAATTGCTTTTATGATATAGTACAGCCGTGTAGCAATATTTCTTTTATATGTTAGTCAGGGCAGTCACTAGTCCCCTTCCAAATCCAAGGGAAGTGAAGATAGACCCTCTTCTTGACAAATAGAATGACGGCCTCATTGTCAGAATGACACGTGAAATGGGATAGACCGTTAGGTATAGCTTTAATTGGAACCGGGAATCAGAAATCTCTTTTAAAATGTATTCATTAGTAACTACCATTGTAACCTTTGATAAATCCTACAAAAACTGAATTTTAAATCTAAATGAGAATTTAGAATTTGTGTAAACTTATAATTCTCATGCTTTTTTTCTCAGCTTTAGGTGGTCTCACAGACAGCAAAGAGAAGGCATTTGCCATACACAGTTCTCATTATGTTGTATATGGGGATTACACATAATATTTAATTTGATAAATATATATCTATATATATTTTTTTAATTGATAAACTATCCTGATAATCTGCAAAGTTTGAAAATTATAGTTCTATAAATACCCACTTATGGGTGACAACATTTTCTTTATGACATTCCTTATGATTCTGAGGCAAGATTGGAATCCACATCTCCTCACTGTGCTTCTTACTGCCCTATGTTATCTGTTAATTCAAAGAGCAAGAAGACAGGCTGCATGAGATATTCCCTGG